AATAGACAGGAGTGAGGCACAAGTGGCTCACCCCTGTAATCATAGGTACTCAGGAGACAGAGATCAGAAAGATTGTGGTTTGAAACCAGCCCTGGCAAATAGTTCATGGCTATCTTGAAAATAGCCAACACAAAAAAGGGCTGGAGGTGTTGTTCAAGTGGTAGAGTGCCTGCCTAGCAAGCAGAAAGCCCTGAATTCAAACCCCAGCACCACCGAAAAAAAAAAAAAAAGAAGAAAAGAAAAGGTAACATCTTCAACAAATAGTGTTTGGAAAACTGGTTATTTACATGCAAAAGACTGAAACTAGAACCTTATCTCTCATGCTGTATGAAAATCTACTCCAAATGGATCGAAAGTCTGAATGAAACTACTACAGAAACAAGGAAAATTCTAGAAGATAGAAAGAAGTACAAATGGCCAAAAAAACACATGCTCATCATCGCCAGCCATAACGGAAATGCAAATAAAAACCACATTAAAATTTCGCATCACTCCTATTAGAATGTAATCATAAAACACAAACAACAAAAAAATCTTGGCGAGGATGTGGGAAAAAGGCACTGTTATACACCACTGGTCTGAATGTAAATTAGTATTATGGAAGCTCCTCAAAAATTTAAAAATAGAACTATTATATGATCCAACAATACCACATCTGGGCATATATCTGCAGGAAAGTCAAGTCAGGATACAATAAAGGCACTTGCACATCCATGTTTATTACAGCATTATTCACAATAGACAAACTATAAAAACAGTCCAAATGTCCCACAAGTGATGAATGGATTAAGATGTGATATACATACATGCTGATATATATATAGCATTCATATATGTATATTCATATATTCATATATATATATATATACACATGATGAAATAATATTTAGCCATAAAGAAGAATGACGTTTTGTCATTTGCAGGTAAATGAATGCAACTGTTATTAAGTGAAATAAGCCATGTTAAGGACACATGCAGAGACAAAGTCAAATACCAACTCAAATATAAACGCAAGCATTATCATCTATACATACATATATGGAACATGTCTATGAAAGGGGACTATTAGAGGATCCTAGGGGAGAATGAAAAGAAGAAAACAACAGAGAATAAATATAATATGATACATCACATCTGTGTAGGAAGAAGGTACAACAAAATGCCTGAAAACTGTTGAACAATACAGGATAGACAAGAAAAGGATAAGGATGAGTATAAAAAGGGTTAGACTCAGTAAAGAACAATATATTTATACATTTACAGGCAAAATACAATGGAGAAATCCCACTGAACAATGAACAGACACTTAAAAATGAAGGACAGAATGATAAAATAGGTCATGATAAGGGGATGGTATTAGTGGGAGGGGAGAAGGTAAAGAAAGGTTACTATGGTTGATACATTTTCTATACATGTAAGAATATAAATCATTGAAAACTGTTAAAAGTCACTTTAAGAAGGGGAAGAGGGAAGTGAGAGATTAATGGAGTGGATGAAACAAACCAAAGTACACTGTATGGAAATATCTAAACAAAATCCCCTGTACAACTATTACATATTAATAAAAGAGAAACAATTACTAGAACCAACAGAAAACCAACAGAATGAGAGAAATATCTTCACCAACTATTCAGCAGATAAAATATTAACATCCAGAATATACAAAGAGCTCAGAGAATCTAAACAGAAAAAGAACAAATATTCTGATTAATAAATGGGTGAATGAATTGATGAGATGGTGTTCAGAAGAAGAAACAAAATTGGCTGATAAATATTTGAAGAAATTTTCAACGTCCTTAGCCATAAAGGAAATGCAAATCAAATCTACATTAAGATTCCATCTTGCCCCTGTCAAAGTGGCAATCTTCAAGAAAACAAACAACAACAAATTCTATACCATGGATGTGGGGGAAAGGAACCCACATGCACTGTTGGTGGGATGTAAACTAGTATAGCCACTGTAAAAACCAGTATGTAACTTCTTCCAAAAACTATAATGAGCCTAATTTGTAATCATGCCATATTATTCTTGGGCATGTATCTGAAGGAATATAAATCAATTTACAAGACATATTCATGTTTATTGCAGCTCTGTTCATAATAGCTCAATTGTAGAATCAGAAGAGGTGCCCAACAAACAATGAATGAATAAAGAAAATATGATTTATATTCTCATGTGTGTGGGCAGGTGTACTACAGGATATTACTCAGCAAAAAAGAAAAATTAAATTATGTCACTTGCAGGAAAATGGATAGAACTGAAGATCATATCATATTGAGTGAGATAAACCAAGCCCAGAAAACCAAATATCACTCCTTTGTGGAACCTAGGCTTAAAATTATAATGATAATGGTGGTTGTGGTGGAGGCGGTGGTGATGGCGATGGTGATGATAATGGGACGCAAATATAAAAAGAGAACAGTGGGGGGATAAACAAGATGAGGGAGGTTGAATAGAAGGATACTTAGGGGAAGAAGATCAAAATTCACTACAAGTATATGTTCATAGACAGCATAAAGAAACCCACCAAACAAAATTTGAAAGAAGAGTAGGAGGAGCAGGATATGGGCCTGCTTGCTCAAAGTACAGTGTACACATGTATGGAATTACTTATGAAAGTCCCTTGTGTTACTAATGCATACAAATTCAAGAGATTATTAAAAATTGTATTTTTGGTAGTGCTGGGGATTGAACCCAGGGCCTTGAACATGCTAAGCATGAGCTCTACCAGTGAGTTCCATCCCCATGCTACTACTCCTAGATTTGGTTCAGTGGAATTTCTGGTGTATTCTCTAATCCAAGTGTTCTTCTGGGAGTGGAGACTTCAATCCAGCAATGCCTGGAACCAAAGTAAAAGGGAAAAGAAAATCCACAAATGGACTCCCAAGAATTATGGGCAGAGTAGCTGATTTCACCTCTGTTCATTTCCTGGAACTGTATATTTTACTTATTGTATATTAATTTATTATTTAAATTATAAATAAATTATAAGTTTATACACTTATAAATTTATATTAATTAAATTATGAATATTAATTTATTATTATATGTTATTTTAATGCGTATATCACATATTGGAGGCCATATGTAAGTAAAATATAATTGCAATGCTGGCATCTTAGTTTTATTAAGGAATCTGGTTGTTTTCTGACACTGGCTTGTCCAAGAAAAGTGAATCCCATTATCGTGTACTTATTGTGATAATGCTACCATTGTAAAATGTGTTCCATGCCAAAGGCAATCGTTGTGAAATCCAATATCTGTAAATAAGACTGCAAGTCTTAAAATAAAGATCCTGGGAAAAGGACTACAAACAGAGAGGTGAAACACATTTCTGGAGTAGTAATCAATTACTGTAAGGACAAATCATTTACCACCATGGTGGATGAATTCATCTGATGTATTTGACTACAAATGAATGACAATTTTTCAGCATCAATTTCTATTAATTTCTTCTTCTCACAGATCAAATATTTAGAATTAGTAGTAGCAGTAGAGAGAGAAACCTTATTTAAAGGGAGTCAAATACTTTTGAGTACACTGGCACACTCATAGCCTAAATTACAGCTTCCATAGCTGTTTCACTCATCTGCTCATACTGTATGCACTATGTGATAGTGAGCAAAAACTAGTTCTCAAATACTCTTGTCTTGATTATCTTCTCTTTCTGTGGAGGGTGATGTATGATAGGCATTGATTTGATACTTAAGAGGTCTGTCCTCATTTTCTTTCATACCATTTTCAGATTTTCCTTTTTTTTGTGCTATTAGCCCTAACAAATCAACAAAGTAATTTTCTACCATCCAGGAATTAGTGTTGATTTTTACCAAAATCTAATTCTAACATCCAAAGTTACCAATCAAATAAAATGTTCATGGGTGTTCACCCTAAACAAAATATCTGTCACCAGTATAATTTCTGGTCACCTTGAGTGGGTAGCAATAACCCATTTGTTGGCATATACCAAGATACATAAAGATCCTACATGTGAATAAAAATTAATTTTTTTCCTATTTCTGTCAAGGAGTCATGGCAACCCTAACATGAATCCAAAAATTTCAGCTGAAGTTTAGGTGTTTATGTGACAGAATTATATGATGTAGGGACCAAGATTATCTACAATTTGATGATTCCTTTGGACCTGCTTCAGCCTAAATCCAGATGTAGCATTTAAAATATATAATTGTTTGTTGCATTTATTGATGTAAATTGTGACTTGATAAATGGTGTATGATCCTAGTAATATGATCACTATATAAGCCATTGCAAAACTTAGTCCCTATTGACTCCCAGAAGTATTTTATGATCTATTTTTCAAAGAGTGGTAGTGATTTCCTATAGCATGAAACACTTTATTCACTGGAGTAAGCATTAAAATGTTACTCCTAATTTCTTTGATGTTTCCAATGAATCTATAGCAGTCTTTATCTGTCAGGAATACTTCCATGTAATTGGATGTCCTTGTACATATAGCACAAGTGCTAGGGAAGCTTACACTAAAGAATGAGTTTTATGTGAGGACACAATGAGTTACAAAATGCCCAAGTCAGCACTCAGTATTCACATGAGGGCTGCATCATGATGGTAGTAAGATCAGCAGCTCACTCTCTGTTCTTCCAACTGAAAATTGTCTTACAGGGCAATCCCATCTTTACAAACCATAAAAATCAACCCGCTTACTGGAATATAAACATTTTCTACACTCACAAGACCCAGTGAATTTTCATTTCAGTAAATGCCATTACACCACTGACATGAAAGTCCACAACCCTTTCTTTTAAACCATTTTAAATTTCAAAACAAGAAGGAAAGAATTCAAACAGAAATGAAGAAAAGAAGATTAAATTTTCTGACTGAAATTCATTGTTTTTTATTATCGTGATTCACCTATAATTTAAGTTAATCAACTCAACAGGCTAAAATTATTGGCTTTAACATAGAAGTGCTTCCACATGGAAATATCTAAGGACAAAAATAAAATGATAATAGCCCAGTAAGTTTATTTTGCTTCCATAAAAAGAACATTTCTTATCACTGCAGAAACCTGACCAGGCTTCAGATACCGACTCTTCAGTTTTGACATAGCTGCTTTCATTTCCTTGTTCCTTAGAGTATAGATAACTGGGTTTAAAATAGGAGTAAAGATGGTGTAGAATACAGCAAGCACTTTGTCAACTGAATAATCACTGAAGGGCCACACATAGATGAAAATGCACGGTCCAAAGAACAATGTGACCACAGTGATGTGAGCAGTGAGTGTGGAGCAGGCCTTTGCCATGCTGACCGAGGAGCGACTCCTGACTGTAATGAGTATCACAGTGTAGGAGAAAACCAGGAGGAGAAAGGAACTCAAAGAAAGAAAGCCACTGTCTGCAACTATTAGTAAACTGACAACATAAGTATCTATGCAGGCTAGCTTGGTCACTAGAGGGAGGTCACAGAAAAAGCTGTCAACCTGATTAGGACCACAAAAAGGCAAGTTAACAGTGAATGCCAACTGACTGGTAGTGTGGATGAAGCCCACACACCAGGATATGATGACGAGAATAATACATACATGGTGGCTCATGATTGTCATGTAGTGGAGGGGCTTGCATATTGCAACATAGCAGTCATAGGCCATGGACACAAGAAGTACCATTTCACTGCCAGTAAAGAGGTGAACAAAAAAAATTTGAGCAAGACAGGCATCAAAAGAAATAGTCTTTTGGTCAACCAGTAAGTCAGCAATCATTTTGGGGGTAGCAAAAGAGGCTACACATACATCTATGAAGGAGAGGTTTGCAAGCAGAAAGTACATGGGGGTGTGAAGGCGGGAATCTGAGGCCACAGTCAGGATGATGAAAAAGTTTCCCAGCACTATTGCCAGGTAGAGTAGTGAGAATATGAGAAATAAAAAAGGTTGAAGTTCCTTGGAACTGGAGAGTCCCAGCAACACAAACTCAGTCACCTGAGAATTGTTTGTCTCATTCATTGACTTTAAAAGAAACTTATCTTTAGGTACCTGAATAGGAGAGAAATAGATATCAATCAATGATGTGAGTGTGTTTTGCTTTTCTAATTATACTTCAGGCTACTAATTCCTGTCTTTATTTATGCACATGGGTTTTCTAAGGTTATTACAAGTTACATAGATAATATGATAGAATGCTGTATGACTTTTATTACATAAAGTTCAAAAACAGGCACAGATATAGATGGTGTTGGTGTGCCCAATAGTTGTTATTCTTGAAAGGGGAATAGAGACATGAATGTGACTGAAGAGCTGGTAGTACTGTTCCTTGATGTAGCTGATACATTCACGGAAGCACTCACTTTGTGAAAACTTACTGAGATGTGCACTTCTGCTTTCTGTAATTTGTGAGCACATGTACTTAAACAATTAAAAGAGGAGAGGAAGTGTTACATTTATATAAGTCAGCTTATGAATAATCATCACCTTAGTTATTACATCTTATCTCCTCTTCTCCCCAGTTACAAATTCTATCAACTAAAATACAAAATCCTGGCAAAACTAACAGAATCAGAGCTTATAAGAGTCATTCTGTCTGTGACACAGCTCATCATGGATTCTCCTTTATGATGAAATCTACTGTGTTATTTCTTTTCATCTGACTCTGGAGACACTAAACTTCATTATGCTCAATCACTGGTGTTAATGACCATGAACATATTTTTTGTTTGTAAATAATGTGTCACTTGATTTAAGAACCTCTTAAAAATTGTAGTTGGCCAGGCACCAGTAATCCTAGCTGAGGAGAGGCTGAGATTGGCTCACACCTGTAATCCTAGCTGAGGAAAGGCTGAGATTGGGAAGATCATGGCTGGAGGCCAGCCCATACAAAAGTTTATGAGACCCCATCTCCAAAATGACCAAAGAAAAATAGACTGGAAGTGTGGTTTGCATGGTAGAGCACCTGCTTTGCAAGTGTCAGTCCCATCAAAATAAAAATTGTAGTTGTAAAAAGTATTTGTAATAAGAAATATAGGTCATGAGAAAAAATAGTTTATTTTCTTTCCTACTCAGTTATTCCATTGTATTTTATCAGAAATTGTTCCTTTTACTTCTTATCAAGATCTTATGAAAAGTTATCTAGGTCTTCTTAAAAGTTGGATAGGAATAACAAAAATAAGGAAGAAATTTTAAAGAAACTTTAATTTATCTGAATTTGAAGAATCTTTTTTTCCATGTCTAAGTTACATCTTGGAAGAAAAATTCTTTTATTTTTCTGATTTTAAACCATTTCAATTTTTGATACTAATGTTTTCTTAGATCATGACAGCAGATTTCCTCATCTCTCCTTGAGTTTTTCTAGAGAGGTTATGCATAAGGACAACTTTAACAACCAAAATGCAAATTCTGAGATAAACTTTTATATTTCAAATCTCCAATATTCCAGACAACCATCAATGAACTAATTAATTTATTATCACAGATCATACTATGTTTAAAACTATGATTGCAGGATGTTAAGATAAGTTTAACAGGTGAAGTAGACTACAGGAAAAATTATATATTACAGCACGTTTGACTTTAAAGCCACTGCATTATCTTCAGAATCTTTCTCACCTCTTCTCACTTCTTGAGAGTCTTAACTCTTGACTCCTGGACATAGAAGTTGATGCATTCAATTCCCTTCCCTTCTTACCACATTCCTTATTATATGAAATGAACTATCTTCATATTCTTAATAAATTCACTGACATGTAGTGAAAACAGAGCAATGAGAAAAGAAAATCTATGTACATTGTTCACAAGCATTTCCACATCCCCACACCCAGAGATATAGCAGTCATTGTTATGAACAATATTAGAGATAAATATTGGTCTTCAGATGTGTACTGATAAAACTCTTTCACTTACCTAAAACGAAATGGGAAATGTAGAGATATCTTATAATCTACAGAATTGATGCCGGGGAAGAATTTGGCTGCAACTTCCCCATCTTCTAAGAAACCAAACTTATCCCTGTGGAGGTAAGTCACAAAGTTTACTTTAAAAAAGTATTGAATAGATGCTTCTGTTCACAATAGCAGTAAATTAGATGACCTCAAATAACTTCTAGAAACTTCTACAAATCAAAACCAGTTGCATGCCACCAATAGTTGTATTAAAAGAACTATTTTCTGGTTTATGTTGCAACTTTAAGTGTACAATACTTACTCATTTGTCCTATGAAAATATTACCTTACAATTTAACTTCATTTAACAAGTACAGAAAACACCACTAATCCTATCTTTAGTCTTACAACATCTACACCAACCTAGAAAAATGCAGCTCTTCAGGAGCCATTAGATGAAGACGAAGGCAGGGAACCCAGGTCTGCAGACTTCAGTCTTCACTCTTCACAACTGGGATGTCAATGTCCTTACCATACTGGTATAAGAAAAGCTATCACAATGATTAGAGACTAATTAGTAATCCAAAATCACTAGACTATAGTGACCAAGAGACCCAGAGGAGATTTGGGATCCCAGAAATTGCCTTCATTAGGAATAATTGCATAAGATACTTTGCCCACGGAATTATAGTGTACTCTCTTGAGAATTTCACAAGTGTACCAAGCACAGGACTAATGGAAATGCTTTATCTTTGAGGGGCAGTATATAACATGGTAGAAGGACAAATAATGAGTAATTCAGGAAAGTTTAGAAAAGCAGCAGTGAGAATGCTAAAAATTAACGTGAAGTTATAAGGTAACTCTGCATACTACATAACAGGGCAAAAGCTACATACTTGGTTTGGAAGGAAGAATTCTATGGTAGGGCAGTGGAGGCTGTCTTATAACAGAAACACTGCATTCTACAGAGTAGTTCTAGTACAGGGACTGAATAACTTTGCAAACTTACAGAGAAAATTCTCTTGAGTGAAGCTTATGTTTTTCTTCCACTAAGGTTATTCTCCACTCAAGGATGGAATTTAAAATGATCTTATGATCTTGCAGAATTTTGATGTTGGTATGGACACTAGCAATCAAGTATCTTAACACCTTAAACCTATAGATGAGTGAATTAGCTCTTCAGGGATTAGCTGCTTGACCCAGATTGTACCATCTATTTTAGAGTCACATCGTCCAACTCCTTGTCTAATGTCCTTCCATAGGATGGAGCATGGCAAACTCATGGATAGAGCTTAGTGGGCTCTTTACATTTCCCAGATTGATGTGGTTAGAGTTTTCCTGTTTCTTTTGATCAATGCATCTAACTACCCTTCCTTAATAGCTCCTCTTTGTACAGATAATCTTTAAAAAAACTGTTGTTTAAATTTTATTTTCTCCTTAGGATTTCCTACTGAATAATTTGATAAACTAGCCATGCACCCTATCAAAAGAGACTTCAGTCTACATCTCTAACATCCCAAAATACAAAAAAATCTCACTGAACCAAAAAAATTAGCTAAATTTCCCCAGTTTTCTCTTTTAATAATGCAAATATACTAATTTCATCACAGTATGATTCTTGTCTCCTGGTACTCATTGTGACTATAGCTTTTATTTACCATGCTTGAACACCACACAGTATTATTTTTATTTTTCCTTTAAATATTCAATAATCATTTAGAGAGATTTAAAACACTCACACACACACACATATACACATATATATGTGCTTATGTATATATATCTACATATGAAGTATTTTGGTTTTTTATTAGTATATGATAATTATATAAGGATTTCATTGTGACACTTCCATATATACATACATTGTACCCCAGTTTGGCTCATCCTTTCCATTAATCTCCAACTCTCCCCACTGCCCTTCTATTTTTAGATTTTTGAAGAGCCACCATACTGTTTTCGATAAGGGTTGTACTAATTTACATTAACACCAGCAGTGTATGAAGGATCTGTTTTACACAAATCCCTGCCAACATTTGTAGTTGTTTGTGTTCTTGATGATAGTTAATCTGATACAAGTGAGGGGGAATCCTTTTTTTTTAAAGAAAAACTTAGTTGTTTATTTAATATCACTGTTGTACTGGGTGGTACATTGTAGTACAAAAGTACTAACAATATATCAAATATATCATACTTGAGTTTGCCCCCCTCCATCATTCTCCTTTATCTCCCTTCCCTCTATTCCTGGCGTAGTTCAACAGGTCTCATTTTTCCATTTACATACATGTGTACACAGTATTTGCACCATATTCACCCTCCTACAGCTTTTCCCCACATCCTCCCCCTCCCACTGGTACCAACCACCTTAGACAGGACCTGTTCTGCCCTCCTGTTCTCCAATTTTGTAAAAGAAAAAAAACATTTTTGTTTAAGATAGCTATACAGGGAATTTCTTTGTGACATTTTCATGTATATATGTATTATAACTCTAATTGGTTCATATCCTCTATTTGTCTTCTTTCTTCCTTAGTCCCCTTCTAATGATGATCTCAACACTTTAAAAATTCTATATTCATTCTTATATAGGAGGTACATCAACCATATTCACCTTAACTTCCTTCTTTTACTCTCTTGTATGTGACCTCCCCTTAGCGTGAGCAGTTTTTCATAATATTGCCGTGTTATTATTAGCTATATATTCCACATATAAGAGAAAACATGCAACTTTTGCTTTCTGAACCTGGCTAACTACACTTAAGAAGATGTTCTCCAGTTAAATCCATTTATCTGCAAACAACAAAATTTCATTTTTCTTTGTGGTGGAATAAAATTCCATTGTATATAAATACCAAATTTTCTTAATCTATTCACCAGTAGTGGGGTATCTTGTCTGTTTCCATAGCTTAGCTATTGTGAATAATGTTGAAATAAACATGTGTCTTTATTGTAACCTCATTTACATTCCTTTAGGTATATCACTAAGAGTGGAATTGCTGGATCTTATGCCAGTTCTATGTTTAGTTTTTTGAGGAGTCTCCATAATATTTTCCATAGTGGTTGTATGAGGGTTACTTTTTTCCCACATATTTGCTAACATTTGTTGTTATTTGTGTTCTTGATGGTAGCCATTCTAACAGGAGTGAGGTATAATCTTAAAGTGGTTTGGATTTGCATTTCCTTTATGGTCGGGGATGT